GCCCCCGCACGCCCCCCCCCCCCCCCCCCCAACGAAAGAGTAGACAGAAAATATTTGTTCTATCAAAAGGCATGGACTTTTTATTCTTACACCCACAAACCAATTCATTAGTGGTCAATGCTGCGAATCCAAGGTCTACAAATCCTCAAGACAAGGCAAAGACTGCAAATGCCTGAACTTATTTGGGAGGAAAATGTACTCCTCAACCCTTCAACTTGGCATAGCTAACTACACAGCCCTACTTGCTAATCACAACTTTGACAGTTATTCAAAACTAACAGAGCTCATGCAACACCACCCAGATAAGAGACCTATCCTCAAAGCTGTGATTAAAGAGGGGTATACTGTATCTCATACAGCCCTGCAGATGGCCCTCGACGCTGCGGCAAGAGCTATGGCAACATCCATAGTAATGAGACGCTCATCCTGGCTTCAAGCAGCTGGATTTCCTAAGGACCTCTAGGCTAAAGTAGAAGACCTACCATTCGATAAGGACAAACTGTTTGCAGCAAAGACCGATGAAGCTTTGTATTCTAGCAAAGACTCATGCACCACCTTGTGCACATTGGAGATGTACACTCTTCCCTACTGAAGGAAGTGCTATAATCCCTGCTAAAGACACAGGGACACAACCTTTGGCAGGCAGCAGCAGCAGTGGCCATTTGACCAAAGTTGCTTCCAACCACAAAACCAACAGAGAAGAGCCCCAAACACACGCTCTTCTATGGCTCAGGTCTCTAGGCAGCAGGTTTGAGAATTTGGTTGAGGGTCTGCCTGACATCCCCTCCGCACCAGTGCCAGCCAAGTCCAACATCTTCCACCATCGCTTGTGCCCTTTTTACAACCAATGGGCAGCAATCACCACAGATTGGTGGGTTTTAGAAATAATCAGCTGTGGGTACTCTTACCCTTTCATATCATTCCTCCAACCTCCCCACCCTCTCCCTCCCTTTTCAGGGACCCATTTCACGAAACACTGCTCCACCAAGAAGTCCAACACCACCTCAACATAGGAGCTGTAGAACAGGTCCCGAAACAATACCGAGGGAGAGGATTTTACTCAAATTACTTGCTTACCAAAAAAACCAGGGTTGGAGGCATATGTTAGACCTCTGTCAGTTTAATAGATACTTTCGTAAGCAGCGTTTCAAAATGGTTGGACTCACCATGATTATTCCCTCACTGGACAGAGGGCATGGGTTTGCTGCCCTCAACCTCCAAAATGCATACTTCCATATCACAATGCATCCCGTGCACAGACATTTTTACACTTTACAGTAGCATCAGACCATTTTTAATAGTGTCCTTCCGTTTGGACTCTCCTCTGCCCCCAGAGTCTTCTCCAAGACCCTGGCAGTTGCAGTGGCACATCTGACAAAAAGGCATCACAATCTTCCCCTATTTGGACGATTGCCTCATTGAAGGTACCTCTCAGCATACCACAAGTGACATGATCAGATTCACAAGGCCTTCCTTCAGTCTCTAGGGTTCACTATTCATGAACAAAAATCCACTCTAGGGACTGTGTGGGGCGTAGAGTTTATAGGGGCTCACATAGATTCTACGAGAGCATGCGCCTATCTCCCCAATCAATGTTTCGACACTATAAAAAACCTGATCGCAATCATGACCACCAGCCCAACTGTTCCCATTCTAACCTGTGTCAAACTCATGGGGCATATGGCAGTTACCATATATGTCGTCCCATTTGCCAGACTACAATTTCAATGTTTCCAACACTGGATTGTCAGTCTATACACCAACCAGATGCCTTGTCCACAGGCACATTTCTCCTCCTCAGAAAGTACTTGCCTCTTTACAATGGTGGACCCAGGCACAGAACCTCTGTGGTGGGGTACCCTTCCACTGAGATCAGCCATCCAAACAAATCACTATGGATCCATCACTTCTGGGGTCGAGTACCGGCTTCCAGCAACAATACGTGCAAGGGAAGTGGTCCAACGAGTCCAGGCTCCACATGAAGCTGCGAGAGGTTCACAACGCCGGCAAACACTTCCTCCCACACATTCAGGGATCCTCAGTGTGTATCCTCACTGACAATATGACCACGATGTTCTACATCAACCGCCAAGGGGGCGCCAGATCCCCTTCCCTATGCGCAGAGGCGATTCGTCTCTGGAATTGGGGTATCCACCACAACATAACCATCATGGCGGTATACCTACCTGGGGACAAGAGTACCATGGCTGATACCCTCAGCCACCACTTTGTCACAGACCATAAATGGGAACTGCACAGTCAGGTCACCCACAATCTATCCCAATGCTGGGGTTGACCGCAGATAAACCTCTTTGCAACCAGTCAAATTCCAAATGCTCATTCTCGAATAGTGCTGGGGGCATAGGGCACAACTCCTTGGGAGACGCAATGCTCTTCCCATGGAATACTCACCTGCTGTATGCCTTTCCTCCTGTCTCTCTGATCCCCAGAGCTCTCCAGAAGGTAGACCAGGTCTGCGTAATTCTAATAGCCCCAGCTTAACCTTATCAACTGTCTCGTCGACCTCCCTGCCCACTTCCACCCCGCCCGGACCACCTCTCCCCCGAGCAAGGGCATGATCCTTCATCCCCAGCCTCAAATGCTGCACCTGATGGCATGGTACCTATCTGGTTCTCAGGAGTTGAGCAGCAATGTTCACAAGTAGTAAAAACTGTACTACTACATATCAGAAGACAAACTACATGTAATACCTGTATAAATGGCAACAATTTAAGGCATGGTGCACCCAGAAGGGAGTTGACCATCCATGGCTCCACTCCATTTCGTCCCGGAATACATCATGCACCTGAAACAACAAAATTTATCACTTCGCGTTCACCTGTCCACGGTCACGGCCTTTCATCCTCCAATAGAGGGGTTCTCCATATTTGCGCGCTTCATCTCTAAGAGGTTTTGGAAGGGCCTGCAGAACCTTCATCCGCCACATAGACCCATACCTCCTACATGGGATTTAAAACTGGTTCTACACTTGCTCACAAAACCACCCTTCGAACCAATGGCAACTTCATCACTTACTTTCCTCACCATGAAAACGGTGTTCCTGCTGGCAGTCACATCTGCAAGGAGGGTTAGTGAACTCACGGCTATCATGTCTTCACCTCCATATGCGACCTTTCACAAACAAAGTTATTCTGTGACCCCCACCACCACCACCCCCCTCCCCCTCCTTCTTACCCTGTGTTTGTTCTGAATTTCATATCCATGAACCCATAGTCCTTCCCGCTTTCTACCCGAAACTGCATTGATCCAGGGATGAAGCCATGTTGCACACTCTAGATATGAGAAGGGCTGCTGCCATCTACTTGGTTGAAAAGGCTGCATCCTGTCTACCACAGTGTCTCCCTATATCTCTAGAGTCTAGCTGAAAGGCCCAAGGGAAAACCACTTTCTTCCCAGCTCATATCAAAACTGATAACATCCTGTATTACTACCTGCTACTCACTCCAGAACAAAGCAATACTGATGACTCCCAGAGCTCATTCCACCAGAGCGATGGCAACAGGGGAGTGTCGCTCCATGAAATATGTCAAGCAGCCACAGGGTCGTCTAACCATATGTTCGTGAAGCACTATGCAATTCCACCATGTTCGACAAAGGACACTGCAATAGTTACTGCAGTCCTCTCCACAGCCCGCAACAACTAGCTGAAGCCCACCTACCAAATAACCGGGCACTGATACACAGTCACCAACAGGGGACATCACTCGAAGAAAGGTTACTCACCCTGTGCAATAACGCTGGTTCTTTGAGATGTGTATTCCCGTGGGTGCTCTACCTGCCCTCCTCCATTTTTCTTCAGGCATTAACAACTTGCTAGGAGGGCATCAAAGAAGAAACTGAGAGGAGTTGGGCAGGGGGCGGTAACTTCAAACGCGGGAACAACACGCTCCTTTCGTGCATGCGCAGCCTGACTGGACACTGCTGTAAAAGTCTCCAATCCGCGGTGCTGGGACGAGTCTGACACCAACAGTGGAGCACCCACGGGGACACGCATTTTGGAGAACCATCGTTACTGCAGAGTGAGTAACCTCTCTTTACATCCCTCCCCCTTCTATAGAAAAATATCAGGGCCAAAATGGAATTTCAGTGCCAGGAGGTATGGTCACATGTTTTCCTAGGACCAACTGCTGCTTAGACAAGGTTGTTTACAAGTCATTAAGGCTTGGGGGGGGTGCACCAGTAATGGCTCTCATTAGCATATTTAAAACTATTAACAGTCTTAAAATATTTCTAACTTTACAAGAACAATACAGGCACCAAAATAGGATATACAGATCCAGCAGACTGAGATATTAAAATTAATAGGTTACATGAGGTATTTTGTCCAAAGAATCTTTGAGATGTACATAGTTGTGTCCATAAGTCAATTTCATAAAGCATGGTGGGGCGG